TTCTGATAAAACTTCTCAATCAAAAGCGCACGAGTTGAAATTGACTACTTTTTTCGGAGCATCATCTGTCAAAGAGAAACGTTTAGGCAGGCTAGGCTATATATATATATATGAAGAAGTTATATCATACCTATAAAGTCCCACACTCAGAGAATTAATGAATTAATTAAGTGATTAATATGTAACAATTATCAATATTTGGACACGAAAAAAAATATTTCACTCAAACATGCAAATAAAATCCCTTTCAGTTAAATAAATTAACCAATATAATCAGGAACTGATTTTCCACCAATTCTTAGGAGTTGTATACCAGATATATGACCTATTTTCTGTCTGGTTGAACCAGCTGGTCTAGTATGATACTCACAAAACTGAAATAAAAACGAAGTCTTTTTTAAATTTACTCTTAGAAATTTACTTATTTATGATATTACATTTCTTCTATATATTGTTCATTTGATTGTCACTATTTTGTCAGTTTATATGTGTTGGTAGGTGGTACAGATGCTATTATGTTTCTTGCATTTCAAACTTTTGACTCTAAGAGACTCCGTGTATGATAAAATAAATTGCAATATACATAAATGTCGATGAATCAGTCTTTACCCGCCACCCCGAGTGTATTAAAAAGTCCTGCCACCAATGTTGAATTGTTCCTCCTCATACTGGCCATTTTCTTTTTCTTTTTTTTTTTCTTTTTTTGCAACTGCACCTTGTAGAGTCTTTTTTTAGACATTGACTAATTTAAATCGAGTCATTTCAAATCTCCAAGCAGAAAGCCCTCTCCAAACAAACATTTAATGTAGTTGCAAAACACGATTCAAACTCATGATCTCTAATTAAGTTAGTATAATCTCTAAACAATTGAGATACATAATGTTAGTTCGTTTGGTCTATTTTAATGTTTGTATTACCCTTTCATTTCTGATTACTTTAATTTGTCACATCACTTCTCATGAACATCGTAACCAATTCTATTTATAATATGGGTAGGTGGCTTAATTTAAAAACTATCAATGTAATATAATGAATGAAACGATTGTGAATGAAATATCTGTAATCCGACCATTCAAGGACCGATCCCGAATCCAACACCTTCATTTCTGGTCACTTTGTCACATCACATCTCTTCTGAAAGTCAGTTATCTCTGACTCTGTCCAGCTTCTTGAACCTCATCTATGGGCGTTTGCTGATATTACACGTTCTCTAGAATCCTTATAAACAAGCGATGGATCAATCAAAATGAAGACTAAATCAAACTTGTCATTTTCCTCAAACTTAAAGCTCCCCAGTAAAACTGAAAATTTCAAAGGCCTTGATGTGAGGCATATCTTTCGTGTATTGTATATCTTCCTCAGTTCAATTTCATACTTTCATAACTCTCAGACCCTTTTGTTCTCAGTGTACGTTCATATTTTTCCGGGTCCCGACGAAATGAATCATTCTCTTGCCCCATGTTTCATCTTCTTCCTTCTTCTTCTTCTACTTTTCATCATAACCGTTGGTGCCGATGATAGATTCACAAACTGTAGTAGCCGGATCAGCTGTGGAACCGTCAACAACGTTGGATATCCATTCTGGGGAGAAAACAGAGCAGAATACTGTGGTCAGCCTGGTTTCCAACTTGCTTGCCAAGACAATACTCCAAAGCTGATCTCCAACCCTATCACTTATCGGATTCTCAAGTTCAGCTTGAGTGATCAGAGTCTCACAGTGGTTAGGGATGATTACTGGCAAAACTCTATGCCCAAATCAGTACTTAAACACTAGCTTTGATAACACCTTCTTCAAGCTTGCCGATGGCTTTCAGGAAATAGCCTTGCTATATGATTGCATCAAGAGTTTTGATACAATGGGTCAATTCACCACTTCATCTAAGGCAGAGTGTTCGAAGCAAAAGGTGTGTACTACGGGAGCTTATCTACTTACAGTATTGATCTGACAGGAATTTGCAAGGTCGTTGTTGTTCTATAAGGAGGTGCTGATGTTAGTTTGGTATATTCCAATCAAAAGGAAATGAAGACGCAATAGAAGATGGTTTTGAGTTAGGATGGAATGTTAACAACCAGCAATGCGACAATTGCGTCAATTCTGGGGGACAGTGCGGGTATATTAATGATCAGTTCACATGTGTTTTTGCAGCAACGGGCGTCAAGGCGTCAAGGAACTACGTGTTCAGGTATGTTGATTTTATTAGAGTGTATTGAAAAATCTTTCACTGATTAATTAAAAAATGAATGGAAAGTATACAACCTTAAAGTAAGTCCTGTACGTCAAATTCGCTTAATTAAACTACTTTGGTAGGAGGACAACCTTAATATATACTTAATTCCACAGAAGTTTAATAGATCTCCCCTATATATATGTTCATGAAAATTGGATCCAGACAACAATATATCAGGATGGACGCATCATGTTTAGATGAATTAAACTCTTGGGTGATGATGATGAATCATTCTTATCTTGCAACAGTGTTTAATGTTTGAAAAAGGTTTAATTGTATTCTCTCTAGGTGAAATGGTCCTAGTGCACTAGTCTAGATGTATGCAGGAGGACATAAAATAAGCTTACTTTGTGTGAGCACCTAGACAGGCCATGACAAAAAAGCTCGATATATTAGAAACTATGTCCATGGGATTAACTTGCCTTAGCCTAGATTAATTGAGTAGTTAGAAGATATTGTTTTAATTCTTCCAAGCAAGACCGCGCCAATTGAATCCAATTCTTTGTTCGTGGGTTGCTGATGATGAATTTTGACTTATGGCATGTAGAAAATTTCAGCCTCTGTGAGCAAGCCAAACGAAAGTAATCTTGACAAAACATTTGATGTTTTTAATTGTTATTTAAGTTTTCTGGCTGAAAGTGACCCCACATTTGAACATTTCACATGTATACTCTCCCAGCCCCTTGCATCTAGAAGATTCAAAGTTTGATATTTGAAATATATTGTGCAATGATGACTCTTTCATGTTAGGTAGAGTTTAGGTATATTTTGGACATGATGCCTCTAATACTCGGAAGCAGATTTTCTCATAATCCTTTCTCCTTTTCTTCTCCTCATCTCATCTCCACCCTTGAATAATAAAATCAATGGTTCATATCTAATTGTTCTTTTATCAAAAAAAATTAATTGTTCTATAAAATAATTATCATATAAAAAAGGAATAAATTTAAACGGTTAAAATTTTACCTGCTCAGTTTACAATTACATATTGCTATTGAATTTTTTTTATAAATTTATATTGTTCTTTATTTATTTTATTACAATTATAAATTGAGTAGGTTAAATTTTAACCATTTAAAATTACTTGTTTATTTTTATTGAGGTTATTTCATTAAATTGATTGAGAGAATTAAATCAGTTTATCTTATAATATACAGTTTGAATCTTAAAATATATAATCATAGTAAATAAATATACAGATTAATGACAATCCTTATCTCATTTAAAAGGGGAAATGGGATGAGGAGAATAAAAAAAGAAAGAAAGATAGAGAGCCGGCCGCTGAGAGTTTGACGCGTAGAGGATCTGGACCCCTAATACTTCATTCCTCTAATGTCTCTTATGTAATTCATGTACTAACCTTCAGATTTTTTTATTTTTCTTTTAATTATTTGATTCTTCATAAAAATGAGACATATATTTTGATATCTTATGGTGTTGAAACACTATCATTCTTTTTTACAATTTTTCAAAAATAAATAAAAATGCACAATTTAAAGTATTTTATCTTAAAAATGGAGATGATTCTGTATCTCAAAATATAAAATATAAAATAATTTAATAAAAATAAGGTTTTATTAAATATATTTTTTTTAATATTATTCTTCTCTCCTTTTGACATTATCTCTCTAATGTCATTAATTAAAGAGTATTTTTAAAAAATTATTTTTTTTTTAAAAATAAGGTCATAAAATATTTTTAATGAGTTTTATTAATCATATGTTAAAAATTATCTTATAAATTAAAAGAGAGAGAGTAATACAATATGCTCATATACCTGGAAAACACAGATCATAGAGAAACTAGGAGCGTGGACCTTGGTTATTGAATAGGCATGTGACAAGCATGTTTGACTTTTAAAGCAATCATGTAGGCTAAATTAGTGGTTGAAACTGAAGCTACTTGTGTTTTTGGTTATCAACAAGTCAAGTCCAGCTGGAACGGGTTTGGATGCTTATCACTGTAGTAAATTTGAATCATTCAAATTTTAATTTGAATGATCGTGAGATTTCAAATATTATTATATATTATATTTATTAAAATAAAAATATAAAAAATTATAAAATAATTTTAATAAACTTTTTATTTTTAATATGATCTAGATTTAATTTAGAGGGTCCAATTTAATATTAAAATTTTTATAATTAATATATATTGATTATTCAGATGTACTCTACACAGGCCAGATTAACTAATCTAGCATGTGCAGTAGTTAATCTGGCCTGTGTAGAGCACATTTGAATAGTTAATATATATCAATTATAAAATTTTAATATTAAATTGAACCTTTTAAATTAAATCTAGATCATATTAAAAATAAAAAAAATTATTAAAATTATTTTATAATTCTTATAATTTTTATTTTAAATCTGGACCATCCAGATTAAATATGGATGGTCCAGATGTCATCACAGTGATGAGTGCCATGGTGCTCATCACTATGATGAGCAACCAAATAGGACCCAATTTGGTGGATCCTAGATGTCAAATGACCCAAAACCTCTATCCATGAAAAATTTAAATGATCCAAATGTCATCGCAATGATGAGTATCAGGTGCTCATTACTATGATGAGCATCCAAACCGAACTATTCTAGGTTTGGGGGGGGGGGGCTATGGTGGGTCCTAGAAGTCAAATGACCCAAAACCTCTATCCATGACTCAATCAATTCCTAGTGCCTTAACGTACTTCACATGATTTTCTTGCCAAGGGACATATTGAATATTTCACCAATTTTTTTATCTCATGATAAATGCATATTAGGAATTTGACGACGGATTATAAAGTAGATTATTACCGTATATATAATATTGTTTACTTCACTATATGCAATCGCGAAAAGAATTACGAAGAATTTGAATGGACATGTTATTTCGCAGTTGGTGGGTCAAATATTTCCGGATCCTCTGTTTTTCAGCACTAGGAACCATGGGATAGTATTCTTTGTTTCCCGATCATATTTGAATCTGAGGCTATATGGTGAATTGGTGATGACCTTTTATTAAAATTTCTTCCATGTTCATGCATGATTCCATTTTTAACATTTTAATTTCATGTTAATTTTACAGGTAAAAGCTCCAAGGCTGTTGCTATAGGTAACCTCTATTCTATTAATCTATAGACTCAATTTTGATAAAGATTAAGAGTTTGGAATAAAATTTAACTCATTTCTTGCTTGAAACTCAGGGGTTGGTGTTGGAGTTGCAGTATTTTTTGGCATTGTTATTATGTTTTTGTTGTGCTTTGTCATGAAGAGAAGAAGGAAAAGAAAAGCTGAAGAGTTGAAAAGCAAGAACCTCTTGTCGCCATCTTTAAGCAACATTAACGTTAATGGCGATGTAACAACCTCTGCAACTACAACTAATATGGCTCAAACTGCTCCTTCTTACCCTGCCTCCAAGTTTCACTCTGTGCAGAAGAGTTTTTACTTTGGAGTTCAAGTTTTTAGCTATGAAGAACTTGAAGAAGCTACCAAAAATTTTGACCCTTCCATGGAGCTTGGCGATGGAGGCTTCGGAACTGTTTACTATGGTAATAAAAACATCATTCCTCAAATATATATCTGTCACTTTCTCCAACATTTAGGGTCTCAGATCTCTCAGAGTGAAATATGACACGTCCAACTGCATGCAAAAGTTACAATTAAAAAAAAAAAATACAGTGTGTGCAATGTATTTAGGGTGTCTATTGCCTGCTCTACTCTGCTGCCCCCAATGTCCAAAATCTCAACCTTTCATTCATGGGAATTAGAGGAAACTTCTTTGACCATTAACCCAAATGATGGGTTAAGATTCCGAACACTAGGAAACAGCAGATAAGTAGCAAGCATTTCAAATTAGGTTAATAGTGTTTAATGTACCTTTCTTTAATACCTCACCTTCCCAACTTAATTTTTCTTTTTCTTTATATGATTGGCTTTTATATAAAATAAGTAATATCTTGAAATTCTCAAATGATAGAGTTATGTATTTTTTATTATTTTTTAAATAAAAGAAATCAAAATTACACACTTTTATCTCTGAAAAATCATAAAAAAATACAAAATTATTTCATTTCGGATCTTAAGATGCCAAAATGCCTTTTATTTTATGTAGCAACTAATAACTCAAAGAAGAAAGAGAGAAATTGAGAAAGTGAAATATTACAAAAGGACATTAAAGAAAAGTACAAATAGATTCTAGCCCCTTCAATTTTGGGTGCAACTGACAAATAATCTGGAGACAAGTTTGACACTACCTATGCTTCATAATTTATAGCATGTCATTCAAACTATTGTTTTTTTTTTTTTGTTGTTGTTAGGAACCCTAAAAGATGGACGTATAGTTGCAGTAAAACGCCATTATGAAAGCAACGCGAAGCGTGTGGAGCAATACATGAATGAAGTTGAGATTCTAGGTCGCTTACGACACGACAACCTCGTGGCACTTTATGGATGTACATCCAGACATAGTCGAGAACTCATCCTTGTCTATGAATACATTCCTAACGGAACAGTTGCCGACCACCTCCATGGCAAACGATCTTACTCAACTTTGCTCCCTTGGCCTATACGTATGAACATCGCTGTAGAAACAGCCGAAGCACTATCCTTCCTTCACAAATCAGATGTCATACACCGTGATGTCAAAACCAACAACATTCTCCTCGACAATGATTTTAGAGTTAAGGTTGCTGATTTTGGTCTCTCACGTTTGTTCCCTAACCATGTCACGCATGTGTCCACTGCTCCCCAAGG